CGTTCTCTTCACCCCAGTGGAAGTGGGAGGGCGGCAGGAAGTAGCATCACAGTTGACCCCTCCTCTTCCCACCCCTTCTCCTTCTCCAAGGGGGGGGCTGTGAGGGGGCAGGTAGAGTTGGCAATTTGCCCCCGTTTTTTTAAAAAAAAAATCAACTTCTTCACTTCAGCAAACCCGCATATAGCTTATCAAACTAAAAAGCAGGGACAAGCACAAATGATCTTTAAGGGTCATTTGCCTGCGCATGTTCCCTTTCCAGCTCCTTGAACTTCTCCCACAATTGCATTTATGTGTGACAGTTCTTCAGTGTAGAGGAAGCTGCACTATATTCATTAGCATGTGCTCAACTGTGATGAATGCATTTTGCATAAATGCCAACACCTCCATACCTTACATATCAAAGGGGCTCTAGAATGGATTTCCTCTAGCTTTTATGATCATGAAGCTCTTGCTCAGACAGACAGACAGACATCCTCCTTTGTTGCTTTTGAAGGGAGAAGAATATTTACTCAAGTTTGCAGCTGTTGTTCTGAAAACCCTACTCATACGCCCAAGTGAAGCAGCACAAGGGAGCTGGGATCACTCAGCACTGTGTCCCTGCTTAAAGGCATAATATGTTTAAATCTCTCATGCTCTTAAAATGCATTTTCCTTCCCTGTTCCTCCTTCCAAGCTGAACCTTGCCATTTAAGATAAGACTCCAAGGATCTACCTCAGTGCAACTCAAGCCCTTTTTGATAACTGGCAATGCAGTCCCAGGCATGTCTATTCAGCCATAAGTCCCATTGAGTTTAGTGAAGCCTGAAGGTTAGTGAATTGCAACTTAGATGATTGGTCAAAGGAAGCCTGTTAAATGTTCCTGAAGAAGAGGGAGGGGCTCCTCGGAATAGGCATCTTTTTGGCAATGTCCTTGGTATTTTAATCTTGTTTTCGTTCTGCTTAGAAATTGATGCCATCACAAATAAATGCAGAGGATGCCCTTGTCAGTCGACACCATTGCCAGCAAAAACTTAGCATCTTTCAGAGGCTGTATTTGCTTACTGCCTGCTAGGCATAGCAGTTTGTTTTGTTACTCATTTAGTAAATTTATGTCCCACCATTTTTTCCTTTCAAGGAACTCAAGGTGGCTTACATAGCTCTCGTCCTCTCAATCTTAACCTCACAAGAACCCTGTGAAGTAGGTTGGGCTGAGAGTCTGTGACTGGCCCAAAGCCACCTGGTGAGCTCCATGGCTGAGTGGGAACTAGAACCCAAATCTCCTGAGTTCCCATCCTGCTTGCTCAGCCACTACACCACACTGGCTCCCAAGCTTGGACATTGCCATCATGTCCTCACAATGAGCTTTTCTGTGACATCTGACTGGCTGTTGCAAAAAGAAGAATCACTTTTCCTCCCTGACATGGCATTTCTGTTCCCCTCCCTCTCCTTCCCCACTTGCAGGCTGTTGGGGGAGGAACAGGTCTTCCATGCATGAGATCTCAGATGACTGCTTGCCCTTCCCTTCTTCCCCTGGGCACCAGCCACTAGAGAATCTCTTTGCAATGCAGATCTTTCTTGGCACTTCCAGCTGCAAGATAAAGTAACTCTAAAACCCTGAACCAGAATTGAGAACTTCTCCCCCAGATCCTTCACTTTAGGGAGGCTCCTGCTGATGAAGGGCCAGCTGGCAAGACCCACTCAGGCTCTCTAACTGGGCAGATCCTCTCTCCCAGTGCCTCATCATGGGGTCAGGGACCAGCCACGGCAATGCCTGTCCCTCTTCTCCAGGTTGGCCTGGGAACCTGTGGACCTCGATCTTGAGGGTACTTCAGAGGCCTCTGCATCTCCCTGAGTTAACAAAAATCCCATCACCAAGTCTTCAAGGTCTCCCTGTTCTTGAGAATCGAGGCCGTGATGAGTCTGGGATGCCCTCCAAGGCTGGTGGTGGGGTTCACTCACTGCACTGCTTGCAAGTTGCAAACTGTACCCCGCTTGCTCCATGCCATCTGTTTGGTATTTTGCCCTGCTTTCTCCCAGTCTCTCCTGCCTTCCCTCTTTCCCACCAGGCCAAGGTTGCCCACCTTGGAGCCAGAGGACATCTTTGTGACCATGCCAAGCACTGGGAAAGTGATGGCAACCTAATGGCCTTCTTGTGTAGCTCCCCTGTGACAGGCCTTATAAATCATCCTTAGCTCATGACAGCAGTCTGGAGTCAACACACTGAAGACTGTGACAAAGAAGGATTGCTCAAGGCCTGGGAGAAGTCAGCCTTACCATGTCATCATTCATAAAACGGCATCTGTAGGAAGAAAGATAGCATAAACTCCCTTTCCCTACCTCCAATGGCTGACAATGGAATATTGTTTTATACATTGTGCCAGGTGCATGTAGCCAGAATGGCACACCTTTGTGTGCCGCCTCTGTTACTTTTCCCACCAAGTTTCCTAGGAGAGCATGTGAGCAGGCCATCTGACCGTCACAGAGACATAATGGGGCATGTGTGCTTCTTCGAACCTCACCTGCTTCTTTCCTCCCTACTCTAATCCACATCAGTGACCCTCCAGCACAGGCTATCCTAACCTGGGTTCTTACAGACGTTTCAGATGGTGATGCCCATCGTTAGCGGGCGGCATGACCATTGGGACAATGGTTGGGGAAGCCTGCTTCAGGGGCCCCCATTCTGTGCAAAAGTCCTCCCCATTCAAAGCCAGCCTCTCCTCTCTGCAGGGAGGCTCAGCTGGTGCTAAATCTCACAGCCTTCTAGTGTTAGTGTTGTTCATATATATATATATATTTAAATAGAGATACCTTTTACCATTGTTATATCTACCCTTGATGGATCTGCCATTGTTTTTATCCTACCTTGTTACTTCAAGTATTATTTTATGGTTGATGGTTTATAAGCTGCCTGAAAGACAGGGTATACCTTTTTAAAAAAATTAAACCAATTCATAACCCTCCCCACTGCTTTCAGTTGATGCAGCCCAGTGCCCTAAATTATCCCCTATTTAACTCTAGGATTTTGAAATGCTCCACCTTTCCTCTTCCCATACTGAAACTTCTGTTATTGTTATATTTTTATGCCTCTGTACCAGAAATCTATTCCCAGATTTATTAATTTATTATCAGATTTCTATGCTGCTTTTTATCCTTTTTCAAGGAATTCAATGGGGCTTATGTGGTGAGTGGTCTTAATGGCTGAATAGGGACTAGAAACAAGATTGCCAAGTTCCAGTCCACCACTCTAACCACTACACCACACCACCTGTCTCCCTGATTTTCTCTTTCGCCTCCATTCTGACATCAAAACCCCTAGGTAAAATTCCCTTATCAGAGCTGCATCTTAATCTAATGCCCTGTGGTCACTGTTCTTCTCCCTCCCTCAAGCGGTATCCATGGGGCGGAGGGGGAGACCATCACTTAATACTGTTTGGACATGGTAAAGTTCAGTCCCTGGCATTTCCAGTTAAAAGGAACAGTTGATGGGAGAAAGCTAGGCCTGGGAAATGGGCCAGATGGACAAATAGTATGACCTAGCATAAAGTAGCTCTTTGTGCTCTGTTTGTGCTCAGAGGATGGCCAGAAGACACAAGATGGAGTTGGGCTGCTGAGCACAAACAGGTCTGGCTCTGGGAGGAGAGACCGCTGGGGACCACAAGCGGCTTTTGCAAAGTCATAGGAAAGCGACTGAGTCTCACCTTTGGTCCACCGTGTCTAGTATTACCAGCCCTGGCTGGCAGCAGCTTTCCAGAATTTCAGGCAGGATACTTTCAAGCTCTGCTGGAAGAAGCAGGGAATCAACCCTGGAAGCTTCTGCACAAATAGTGGGTGTCCTACCACTGAATAGTGCCATGTGGGCACTAATTCTTCTCTCTACCCTTTCTTCGTGAGCCATGCCTTATATGCCGCTGTTCAAAACAGGCATTTCAGGGATACGTTTTTCAAACCCCCACCTTCCAGGACCATCTGACCTCAGCATTTGGCAGGGTGAGACGGGTTGCCTCAAGCAGCAGATTCTGAGATTCTGTGAAAGAGCAGTAAATGACCTGGGGTGGACCACCCAAACGGAGACCTTGTCCCAAGATTCTGATGGTTCTATATTTCAAGAAAGCCCAATGAATTTCAGTCACAAAGGACTTCTCCAGGGGCTATGTACAAAAGTCAAAACTTATTTCATAAACAAATTTATGAAATTTGCAAGATCATTCTTTGGTACCAACACAACTTATAGCTGATGGAACAATAAATCATGGAAATGTCTCATTTAACAAATGCTGAACAATGCAAAATAAGTATAAAACATCACACAGCTAGCAGTAGATGGATAGTATCTAAAATATTGCTCAGAAATGCATGCAGAGATCTCTGAGAGATCTCGCAAGAATGCCATGGCAAAAGCCACAGTGTGCAGACAAAGCAAGTAAGTACGACTATCTGGTGTTTGTCAGACCCTCCAGGATTGCGGGCTCATGGACAAATAACCATCCTAAGGTTGACTTTGAGGAGATTCACCCTAGTAGGTGGATGTACTTGCCTTACCATCGCAGAGCAGGGCAGAGAGGGGGACTGGCTTTTCTGACTCAGGGCTATTCTTAGCTGTTACCAGAGAAAAGTCTGGGAAGGACCATAGATAAGTGGTAGAGCAATTGTTCTGCATGCAGAGGGCACAGAGCATCTCCATTTAAAAGGATCAGATAGGACATGTGTGGCAACCTCCAGCCTGTGGAGCTAATCTGCCCTGCAAGTTGCCCAGCTACCTGTGGTGGGTTGAGTCCCATCTGCAGGCCCTGCCCACTCCCTTGCACGATTCCACATGGTGGCCTGTTCTGGAGGTTACCAGGGATTTTGGGAAGAAGTGGATAGAGGAGGGCACTTGTTATCTCCAAATACACAGAAGATGGTACAAGAGGGATTCCTAAGACTGCACACATCTGAAAGGTTTGGGTGCCTTCATCTCCATCTCCCATCTCTGCCACATGCATTTCCAATCTGCAACCACCCTGAAACAGCAGCAAAAAGAACCTGTTTCCTGGAACTCAGAGCACCCTTGTTTCCCCGGCAAGAGAGCTTCATGGAGCTGGAGGTGCTGATGGAGCTGTTGTGCTTGTTCAGCTGGCCTGCGTGCTGCGGGGTGGCAGGCAGTGGGTTCATGAAGAGGATACGGGCAATAAGGCCATAGAGGACAGTGGCCAATCCCAGCGGAATGACATAAAAGACGGTGAAGTCCAGGAAGTAGATGGGCATGTAGAGGTTCCTGGAGACACGGTAGCCACAGCTGACCTGCATGCCGTCTGCAAACATGGTCTGGGAGGTGTCCACCAGGAAGAACCACATGAGGCAGTACACAGCGGTGAAGAGCCACACACAGGAGATGATGCGCTTGGCCCGGGCCACGGTGCAGAGCAGCTGTGCCTTGATGGAGTGGCAGATGGCAATGTAGCGCTCCACCGTGAAGGCAGTGATGGAGCATGCCGAGATGTTGATGCCCAGATACTGCAGGTAAGTGATGCACAGGCAGCCCGCATAGCCATACACCCAGGAGGCCACCACCTCAGAGATATTGGGCAGTCCTGCAGCCAGCAGCACAATTAAGTCAGCCACGGCCAAGCTCACCAAGTAGCAGTTGGTGGGGGTCACCATATGCTTGGTGCGGAGGACCACCAGGACTACCATGATGTTGCCTGCGATGCCCACTCCACAGATCAGCAGCACCAGCAGGATGGTGACCACCTGCACTTCCAAGGGCAGCTGGGGCATCTTGTCCATACGGGTCTGGTTAGTGCTGGCATTGCCCACCAGTGTCTCGAAGAAGTTCCAAGACTGGTTCTCCATGCTGGATCCCAGGTGGATGGTCTCTCTTGGCACTGGTAGTGGCGGCACCTGACTGGAACTTCCCAGCCAAGAGAAACCTAACAGGTATCCTGGGCCAGCAGGGGGGAAAAGAGAAAAAGTTAAGAACAAGTGTAGCCTAATAGCCTTCCTGATTATTGAAATTTCAGGCAGAAGCCCAGCTTAGCCAGGAACGCAGGGTAGACTGAGGCAAGCGGTTACATCTAAACCTTGCACACCTACCTATCTGTATATGGGGATAACACATTTGCCTACTTGACAAGAAAGGCCATGCAGGGCCGCACCCAAGGTCCATCTGGCCCAGCACTCAGTACACACGGTGGCAAACCAGCTGTCCACAGAGTCCCTCTAGCAGGATGGGTGCAAGACCTCCTCCTGCCCAAGCTCCTCAGCTACTGGTGTACGCAGGCATGCCGCCTTTGGTAAAGGAGGTAGCACATGACCAGCAAGGCCTAGTAGCCACTGATAGCCCCCACCCCACCCCTATGAATTTGTCCAATCACCTTTCAAAGCCATCCAGAATGGCAGCTGCCACCACTTCCTGTGGGAGCAAATGCCATAGTATAACTGAAGAAGTATTTCCTCTTAGTTGGCTAATCAGCTTCATGGGATGACCCTGGGTTCATCTCTCTCACTCTCCACTTGCTGAACATAATGCTTTATTTTAAACACCTCTATCATGTCTTCTCTTGGTTGCCTTTTTCCTAAGCTGAACGGTCCCATTTGTTGTTGCCACTCCTCACAGGGGAGCTGCTACAGCCTCTTGCTCATTTTCATTGCCCTTTGTTGTTGTTAAGGATTGTTGTGATTATTTATTTATTAAATTTATATTCTGCTCAGTCCTTAAAGTAGGTTACTGTTTCTGTTTTGTCAAAATGAAAGAGAAACAGTAAAGACAACAATGAAAAAGTTCAAAATAATAAAACTACAAATAGATTAAAGAGCCAACACTACAGCGAGTAATCGGAGCAACAGAATTAAAGACAGAATGTCTACCAATACTTAGATTAATCATTCTGAAATTCATTTTGTCAGGTCCATTCATGTCAGCCTTGAAAAACAGAATAGAAATATTTTCAGTAACACTCAGAGGGAAAAAGCATTGTTAATAATGTTGATAATGAAGATGATGCTTATCATCATCCTGAAATTTCTGAAGGCTGATAAAGTGCAAAGAGAGCACAGCCAGGGATTAATCTGGCCCAAGAGGAGTGCAAATTTGCATCAGCAAACTGCATTTCTCCCACCACAAAGTAAACCAGAACATGAATGGAATTTGGTACTTCCTCTCCAGACAAAGGGTGGGCAACTTATGCCATTCCAGATGTTGCTGTCCTGCAATGCCTATTGGCCCCATCCGAGCTAGTCAATGGTACAGGATGATGGGAGTTGCCATCCAACAACAACTGGAAGGTCATACATCGCGCACCCCTGCCCAAGAGCATCCTTTGTTGCTACGTATCAGCTTCTCATTCAATGACAGAAACAACGCCATTCTGTTACACTGGTCAGAGCACTCCGTAGCCATTTCAGCAGCAAGCGTTTTTCAAGTGTCTGATCTGTTTCTTCAGAAGGGACTTTATCTGGTAAAACAAAACAAAACAAGGAAGATAAAAGAAACCTGGGAAAATGTGAAGGCTTGGAAGCAGATGATATGTGAACTGCCCCTCCATCATCAAATGTTGTGAATCAGGCAGGGCAAGGACACAATAAAAACCTTGCCAAGCAGCTAGAACGATGACCACCACTCTGTCCTAATAGAAAAGCACACGATTTCTGTCCCTAGCACCAGCTCTTGCAAAGTCTCTTTTTAATTCTAGGCAAAGTTTTCACCAAGCCACCCCTCACCTTCTTACAGCTCTTGCAACAAAATTTTCCTAACATTTTTCCCCCTAAAAAAAGAGTCCTGAGCTGCACCTTCAAGAGGTGTGTTCTTCAAAGTACTGGACCTCTGACCCATTTCTGGTGATGTTTGTTTTCCTGAGCCAGAAGCTACCGGCTTCCATCAGATGCTGAAAGATGAAAAGCAGAACCTTCCATTGAAGGACCATGGGGTGTCCGCAGACCACACACATGGCAAGCAACAGGTTTGCAGTTCATGTTGCAGCATCGCCTGGTAAATGGTCAGCTGATGGGAAGACCTCTACCTGAAACCCTGGAAGGCTGCTGCCAGTCAGAATGGACAACAGTGGGTTAGCTGGACCAATGGACCTGCTCCGTCTAGGATCATTGCTTGGGTCCCAAGGTTCCTTCCACAAGATATGCAGTGCCAGCCTTCAGGTATCGCAAGGCTCTTTGCTGGCTACAGGGGATGGTCGGTATGACCTTGTGGAACCTGGGCTAAATTGGCTTAACACTCCCCTGCATCACACGCACACACACGTGCACACTCTCACACAGATGCTCGGACCACTGTCTGTCCTCACTGCCGATCATGCATTGCTAGTGCCTTGAATCAAAGTTGAGCGTTCCACCAAGTCATTCCTAGAGAAACTTCAGACCCCCCACCCCGCTCAAATCCTTTTGGCTCTCCCTCCCTCCGGGTCTTGCTGATGAATCCAAGAGGAGGAAGGAGAACACCGGGCAGGGAGATTTGGAAAGCAGGACGTGAGAGAAGGCAAGGTGGGTGATGAAGAAGACTGACAGCACCAGCTTTTCTCCGTCTACTGCAAGTAAGTTCTATCGCGCTCAGTGGGTCTTACTCCCGGGTAAACAGGCATAGGATCATCCCGTAAGCCGGTGGGGAAAGGAAGGGAAGAAAGGGAAGAGAAGAGAAGGGAAACTTTACCATTGCGAGGGCAGCGCTCCGGATCAGAGCGGATGGGAAGAGGGAGCGGCGGGCCGGTGGCTCCTCCGCCTGCCTTCGCTCCGTGCTTCTCCCGCCAGCCTCGCTCTTCGCGCAGCCTGCCTGCCTGCCTGCCTGCCTTCGGGGGTTTTATTCTCGGGGACCCCGGCACTGCCGCAGCCCGCGCGCTCAGCCCCCGCCCGCTCTGCACGGGGGGCGGCGGCAGGCAGCAGGGCTCGCGCCCCCTCGCGTGTCAGAGGAAGCGGCGGGCGGCTGGCCGGGGGCGTGCGCGCCCGGGGAGGGGGATGCCAGGGAAGACCCTCCGTCTCCCTCGCCGGGAGGCGCCTGCTCTCCGCCGACGCACCTTCTGCCCCGGGCGCAAGCCCAGCCAGCGGCGGCGGGGGGGGGGGGGGCGGCGGCGTGGCCCCTCCGCGTTTCAGCCTGAACTTTAAGTGAACTACCCGTGGGGCTCAAACGTTGCGGTGAAGCTCGGTTTCAGCACCATGGGCAGTTCCTTCAAAGTTCAGACGCGATCCCGGGATGGGTACCTTGCCTCACTGAGCCCATCCCCTCAGGCCCCCCAAGGCACCCCCCACCGAGTTCAGCCAACGTACTCAGTCGGGGCTGCGCAGCTGCGTGGCAGGGGGCTCTTCGATCGCCCACCTCGCTGCATCCCCGTACCAGGAAAAGCCTCACCGGCTGATTTCTATCGCCACCCAGCCAGGGGGGGCCACCAGCTTTCCTCCAGGTTCGGCCCATGGCGCGGGATGCTTCCCCGAAGGAACATGGCAGAGTCCCAGACAAGCTTTTTATGCTCAGGCATCTCCCCAGGTTTGGAGAACACCCATGACAGAGAAGGAAAATGCAGAACTGTTTGCCCACTTCACCCCGTTCCCTCCTCTGAAAAAGCGCACGTCCATTCGGGGTTCTTTCAGATGCATTTAATTTATTAGTGTTGTGGCTGCTGGGAGACTTTTCCTTCGTTAGGCCTGGTAGTTAATCGTTGGGGGTTGTTGCTGCTACGTGTTTTGTCAATGGGAGTGGATGACGTTAGGGGAGGTGGAGGGTGCCTCTCCTTTTTTCAATGAGGTCCCAGTCCCAATTTGGGGAAAATGCCCATATTATACCCGGGTCCTTCCAAATGATGGGAAAGGACATTCCTTGTGTGGGGCGGGGGGGAGGAAGGGGGGAGTTCAGAGTTTTTGGAAGAGGTGGAATGAAAAAGAGAACGGTGAAATATTCTAGATGGGGATTGTAGAAACTGGGGGTGGGAAAGCTCAGGACAGAAAGCTGTCCATGCTGCTTTCTGGAAATTTCTTGCATTACATGGGTTTTCAATCTTATTAATCATCATCCTGAATTTTAACAAAATAAGAAAAAATGAAATGATCTTACTTAAATGCATCACTTACAACAGGTGCATATGAAATCTATGTCTATGATTATACATGTGCATATTGCTATCAGTAAGAAGAGTTGGAGGCAGAAGAAGGGAAGATCAAATATGAGATGGCTCAATTCCATCAAGAAAGCCATGCCTTGAGTGTATCTAAGCTGAGCAGGTCTGTCAACGCATTCGTTCATAGGATCCTCACAAGTTGCTGTCAACTCAATGACATGTAACAACAACATGAATTGATATACCCACTTTAAAAGCCTCACATTATATCCATATCCCTTAGAAGTCATTGACTATTTTGCAGGTCTGCTGTGAGGATGCTTGTATTATCCCAACATGCACTATACTGAAATCACTGTATAGACAAAATTAGTATTTCACATATAGAAATTCAACTGTATAGTTATGGTGGTTTATGCCTTCTTTTAAAAAGTGGATGTTCACATTTCACAGTCTTTTCGAGGTAGGCAGACTGAATATGCATATAGTCATCTGTTTCCTGGTGGCATCTAAACACCACCCATCCCAATGTTGAAAGTGCCCTCAATCTCTTGTGTTATGGGGAAAAATGTTTATTTTTCTAGCATCTGTCTTTTACATCATATCCATCCATCTTCCAATCCTATAGCTCTTAGACAGGAGGACAAACTATGGTGTGAATTCTCTGCTCTGAGTGGGGGGCCATGCTTAGACCCCCACCACCACCTGCCCACACACACATACATAGACACACAGCCAGTGTGGAAAGCTGGTTGCATAGTAACTTTGGAGAAGGGGTTTAATGGGCAGGAAGAGGGT